ATTATTATGTAAAGGGCATCTGAAACCATGTTCCACAAATTAACCTTCTTGGATAATAAAAATAACCTGACACAATATATTTGTTCGTTCCTTTCCTCTTCATTACAGCGAAAGTTTTCCTTTATTTTAAATTACCCTTTTCGTCCTTATACAAAAGATAACTGGGGCAATAGAGATGTGCTTCCAGTTAACTGTAAGTATAATTTTTTAACCTAGATAGTAGGAACACCCCAAGTCAAACTCCGAAAGTATGAGAAGAAGGGCTTATACGTACTCAAAACAAACTTCAGTCATTCCAGTGTGTCCTACCTGACAATATTTTATTTATACCAAAAGGAAATAAAATGAACAATATGCCTATCCAGGCCACTTGTACACAATCACAAGTATGCTGCCACAAATATGAATAATCCAACTTAAGTTAAACAAAAACCAAAAATAGAAAAAGCCTTAGCTTTTGAATTTGTCAATGCATTTGTTGTATTGCACCAATGTGGATGCAGCCAAAATCTTTGGGTATTTTTTAAATACAGGCTGAAGGCCATTTCTCTTTCTTCAGCTTACAAGCTCAGAGATCTTCCAAGCGTACCATTTCCACCTTGGGTTCCTTAATGGTTGTGGGAGTTGAATACCTTTTTGTATACAAAACATTTTGACCGGTGGTAGCTTTAAAGGAGGTAATATTGACTTTACTCTAAATTTTTGGAACCAGTTCTTGGCTTTCCATGCTGGTGCAATCACTGTTGCCATAGCGCCCTGGTTTTGTATTACTGACAAAACTCTGGTCATTAGTCCTATCGGAGGATTTACAAAATTGTTGTGTTGCCCCAGTCTACTTGTTTGAGGGCGTCCACTCCACAGCAAGCAGGATCCCAGAACCAGCTGTTGTCCCGGCTGCACTTTGTTGTGTTCATTACAGTAAACCTGTCTATGGAGAGCGGACCCCACAATTTTTCTAAATAGTGAAAGAGACCTGGGTTCAATTCCCACTCGTATTGACTGGAGACTCGGCTTAACGCAACTGTTGTTGTGTAGGACTTGACCGGCAATGTAGTGAGCTTTGATCAAAAAGTCGTTTGTTAGCCCTAAAGTCCAAATTTTACTTGCAACCTGTGATATATCCGGACTGGGACCCCCTTGCATATTGATTTGAGCCCCTGTTGCAACATTGTCCGAGAGAATTTGGACTGATTTTCGTTTTATCTTTGGTAATAAAGCTACTAACGAGTAGGTGAACAGCTGATATCTCCCGACAATTTGAGCTCTGGTGGGACATGAATTTGTCCAAAAATCCCTGAGCTTCCAATCTGTGAGTCAGAGATATAGCCTCCCAGCCTTCCTGACCGTAAAGGCTGAATGCAAACAGTGTGCGCAAATAGCTACAGACGTCAGGAACGTCAAATAAGTAAAAGTCATCAACATATGCCAGAACTCGTTTACCATTGTCTCTGAAATGTCTTATTACCTCTCTAATGACATTGCAAAATAATTAAGGGCTGAAATTTGCCCCAAATGGTAGAACTAACCACTTATAAAAAAATATTCTTCCACTGAAAACACAAACATTGAGTGTCCTGTCTTCTCACAGAATGTGAAAGAATCCGTTCTTAATATCCCAGGTAACAGAATTGTCTTCTGGTGTGGAACATTCGAGGAAGTCGTCAATGCTCTCATACACAGAGGACGGAGGTTGACAGTGTTTATTAAATACCTAAGGTCTGTCACCAGTCTAAATTCACCGTGCTTTTGGGAACTAAATGAATCGGACTCCCAAATTGAGGAACAAAGTCAGGTTGACATTTCTAAAACACTTAGCAGTCTCTAATTTTCTAATTTCCTTTTCAACGAAGACCTGTGTTCTTTTGTACTCAATACAGAGTTTTTCAAATGAAAAGGCTGTGTTAGTGGTAGATCAATAAAAGGAATTTCTACTCCACAAGATATCCATTTTAATATTTCTGAAATGTTGATTATTTTCACCCAAATTGTCCAGTCTCCGACTTGCACCTTGAAACATTAAACATACACACAGTTGTCCTTAGGGGGTTTCCCCTGAGAAATGGCAGTTCTTTAACGTAAATTCGGCCTCCTGATTGGCTGAGTATCTATTATTCATCGTCCGGACTGTGTGTTTGTCTCCCCGTGAGGGGCGGCTTTAATGCAGTCTCTTTCACGATTGAAAGTTTATGATCTAGTGACAACAGGTTTTTTATATCTTGCAGTTGTGTTTCTACACCTTCTGCCCTGCCTTTTGGGCTGTTACCACTTTTCCGACACTGAAACCGATGTAATATTAAAACAAATTTTGACACGATGATCAATGGCGACCTCCACGTGATAATGCAGAGTAACAAAGACAAGGGGGAACACACAGCTTTTCTCCCGGACACAACGTTGAATCGAGCGAAGGCTCTAACCTCAGAACCAGCAATCTCACAGTTAAGCGTCCGGGTAGCCTAACCACTAGGTTATCGATGCCACCTGTACAGGATGAAATGAAACATGCACTAAGAAGCTTTAGGGTGAGAATAATTTTCAACACCGAAAGTCGATTCGAGCCCCTAAATTTGCGGAATTTGCCAAGATTTTGCTAGCTGCTCCACGGAGAGAATTAATTACAGTACAAAGTGAGTAAAGGTGTTCCGGTTGATGCTTTTCATATTAGAGTAAACGATTTGTAGGCCACCCAACAAGACGATCACTTTTCTTATTCACAAAAAGAACAGGTGAAAATTCTACCCCTACTCCGAAAGAAGTGGTCAAAGCCATCAGTGGGACGACACAGTTTTGACTGGCCACGTGCCCGTTATTTGCAACTTTAACGATTTTGTCGTGGGATCCATCACTTTAGTTGATACAAATAATAATAACAGTGATAATAATGATGGCCATCCTGCTTTAAGGACGCCGTTATGTGGATTCAAACGAGGTCTATACGCAAATAGTTCCGCATTATACCAGCTGGGCTGACGTTGCGCCAAGCATGCTATAGAATGCCAAACGACCAAGATTCTGTGTTTAACAAAATCGATTTGTGGTGTGCAACCTTCAAGTTTCTTGGTGTGGGAGAGTCTCATAGCTCATTTCCTCCAAACGTATTAAGCCCGACCGTTGTTTCCTTTGCGACGACATTTTATGAATCTGAAAACATTATTTCACTGAAGTTTCACAGTGTCTTTCGGTGCTTCTCAAGTGATGTATTATAACGGAGAAGATTTCTCTTGATTTAAAAAGTATTGCACCGAGAAAGCGTTGCTTCATAAAATCCCACTTTCCTTTTCCGGAGGATGGTGTCATTTTCCTTTTCGAGCAGAATGATTAAAGAATGATTTAAGACTTCATAAATCGCAAGACTGAGGAAAGACTGGAAAATGTTCCTTCACAAGGATTTTTATCTTCAACAGCTTTCCTTCTGTGTCCAAAGTCGATGAACGACGTAAATGTGGTTTTCTTTTTCATAGCGTTTCCTTTGCTCAGCTATCTTTAAAGTGGCAGTTAGAGTTCCCTTCTTGACGTAACAAAGAAAATAGATTGTTCATTCGGTTGCTTACGTATTATATCTATCTATCTATCTATCTATCTATCTATCTATCTATCTATCTATCTATCTATTTATCTATCTATCCAAGAAAGAGATCACCACCCTGTAGGCATCCACTGCCTATAGTTCCGACCAACACCCATGGACCAGATAACCTTAATGCTTTTGGCGTGATCATTTTAATTAGAAAGGCAGAGCGAGAGTGGCTGTAATTATCCCCATTACTTACCGGGCCCACAGGACGAACAAACCGATTATATAGAGTGTCACTGCCGCTGGCGATACGGAGAAGCCAAAAAGTGCTATCTGGACAGGA